GTCAGGTTAGCATCCAATTCTTGGTTTCGGCTTGGGTCATGATCTCAAGAATGTGAGATTGGTCCCCTTGTCAGGCTCTGGGCACAGTACAGAGTCTCCTTGAGGTTTTGCTCTTCTTCTGCCTCACCTCTGCACACACACGCTCACTGTCTCTAGAATAAGTAAATCTTTAAAAAATAAATAAAGTAATTATTGATAACTATAAACTTATTGCCATTGTGTTCATTGTTTTCTGGCAGTTTTGTAATTCCTCTGCTCCTTTCTTCCTTCTCTTCTGTAATGCTTCTTATTCCTAGAATGTCATGTTGTGTTCTTTCTGGGTGGTAGTTTAGAAGTCTTAATAGTAATGATAGTTCATGTTTACCAAGCACTTATAGTAGTCATTATTCTAAATGGTTTATGTATATACATGTAGTTAATATGTGGAAATTAACTGATTTCATGTTCATAACAATGCTAAACGAGAAAGTGGAGAACTTGGTAATGAGAAAGTACATATCTTGTTAAAAATTTATGATGATTTCAGCATTGGGGAGGGTATGTGATATGGTGAGTGCTGTGAAGTGTGTAAGACTGACGAATCACAGACCTGTACTCCTGAAGCAAATAATACATTATATGTTAATTAAAATAATAAATTAAAAATTTTATGATGATTTCAAAACAGAGGGTTTTTATTAACATATAATGTATTATTTGTTTCAGGGGTACAGGTCTGTGAATCATGAGTCTAACACATTTCACAGCACTCACCATGGCACATACCTTCCCCAATGTCCATAACCCAACCACCCTAACCCTCCCCACCAATCCCCAGCAACCCTCAGTTTGTTTCCTGAGATTAAGAGTCTCTTATGATTTGTCCCCCTCCCCGGTCCCATCCTGTTTGATTTTTCCCTCCCTTCCCCACAAAACCCCCCGCCCTGCCTCTCAAATTCCTCATATCAGAGAGATCATATGGTAATTGTCTTTCTCTGATTGACTTATTTTGCTTAGCATACCTGACTACAAATTTCTCAGTGTCTCTGAATGTCTGAGCTATTCTGCTCCTTTCCATGAATGAGGCAAAATTATTGCTTGTACAACTGACAAAGCATTTTCTTCATCTTGAGAACTAGCTTTAACAATCATATGTTGCATAATTAGTCACAGTGTTCTTACTAGATAGGCATCCAGAGGCCTCTTTTTATAATCATGGAAAGCAAGGCTCAGAGAGGTAAAATGGTTTTTATAAAATTTTTGTCTCTGAGCAAATCCCTGCTAGAACGTAGGGTCTTCTCCTGTCCATGCTGTGGTACGTCTTAGGCCACAATTCCTCTTTAAAGTTTCTTTTGAGAAATTTTGTAACCCCTCTTTCCTAAATAAAGTAATGTGCTAACTTTTGCCCTCTTATCTAATTTGCTTGAAAAAAAAAATCTCCTTTTGGGGTAAGTCTCAAGTCAGCAGTATACCTCCCTATTCCTTCCCTCATGGCACTGGCTCCTAAACCTGGCCTTGCATGGGAATTATCTGAAGAGTCATTAAAAATAGATGTCCCAGAGCCCCCAGAACCTGTATTTTTAACATGAGCTCCAGGTGATTCTCATGAAGGTGGTGCGTACTATTTGGAAACCACTGTGCCCGGGGACATGGCACCCTTCCCTGGAGATAAGACCAAAGTAGATGGGAACAAGTGCCTGCTTCTGACCTCTCCTGCTTCCTTACTAGGTGGATGGTCCTGAAATAGTGCCTTGCCCACTCAGTCCATGTGCTTCTGGCTCAAGGCACAAATGTGGACATATTTTTTTCTCATTGTTTTGCTAACATTCTACTTCCTCAAAAAGTTGATGTCAAGATCAACAAAGATTCTCTCTGGCAAATCACTGTCTTGCTACAGTCCTTTTCCTCATGCCTCTTATGTACTCCCAGTTGTGGACCAAAAAGTTGGTGTCTCTGGAATTATCCTCAGGTGTTTCGAATTTCCCTGGAGAACATTTTGGATAGTGGGATGAGAGAGTGTTCTAGAGTCAGGCAGATCTGGATTTGATTCATATTCTGTCTGTTAGCACATTAGCCAAGTTGATGAAGGAGGTAAAAACCTCAGGGGTGCCTGGGTGGCTCAGTCATTAAGTGTCTGCCTTCAGCTCAGGTCATGATCCCAAGGTCCTGGGATCGAGCCCCGCATTGAGGTCCCTGCTCAGTGGGGAGTCTGCTTCTCCCTCTCCCTGTCCCACTGCTTGTGTTCCCGCTCTCGCTGTGTTTCTTGGTGTTGAATAAAAAAAATCTTAAAAAACGAAAAGAAAAGAAATGGAGGTAGACCTCAGTTTTCTCATCTGTAATATGGGAATTGATGATAACTTCCTTGAAATATTGTGTGAAGGTGAGAGATTATGTATATAAAACACTCAAGACAATATCTGGCCCTTATTAAGTTCCCAATAAATCTTTAAAAATACATTTTAAAGATCACTGTAGATCTCAAATAAGGAAATTATGGCTTTGTGAAACTGTTTAGTGAGTAGTTTCTTCCTAAACAAAACACACGGGCATGACAGATGATACGTGTCTTGAGCATGGCTGGTAGATATTAAGCAAATCTAAATTATTTGGCAATCAGCAAATTTCTCCAGCAATTTCTGGATCCCTCTATCCTCTTCAATAGCACGATCTAGAATAGGTTTCTTTTAATAACTTGTTTCCCTATTTGTTCCTTTCCTAAAAAAATCTTACTAAAGTATATTTGACAATACAGTGTTCTTTAAGCCTCACAGCATAGTGATTTGACAGTTCTGTATATTAACATTCACCATAATAAGTGCAGTCACATCTGTCACCATAAAACATTATTACAATTATTGACTGTCTTCGCTATGCTATGCTATTCATGTCTGTGTGACTTTCTTATTTTATAACTGGAAGTTTGTACCTCTTAATCCCCTCCATTTATTTCACCCAACTCCCCCAGTCACCTACTTTCTAGCAACCACCACATTGATTTCTGTATTTATAGGTCTGTTTCTGTTTTGTTTGTTTTGATTTTAGTTACTACAAGTAACATGTTATTTGTCTTTGTCTGAGGTCTTTCACTTAGCATAATACCCTTTAGGTCCATCTATGTTGTCACAAATGGCAAGACCTCACTCTTTTTTTATGCTTCAGTAATATTCTGTTGTACATAGATGCCACATCTTCTTTATCCATTCAGCTGTCGATGACACTATTGTAAGTAATGCTTCAGTGAATATAGGGCTGTGTGTTTCTTTTCAAATTAGTATTTTCATTATCTTTGGGCAAATACTCAGTGATAGAATTATCAGATCATATGGTATTTCTATTTTTTAATTTTTGGAAGAAACTCTACACTATTTTCCACTGTGGTGGTACTAGTTTACCCACCAACAGTACATGAGGGTTACTTTTTCTCCACGTTCTCATCAACACTTGTTATTCTAATCTCTTTTGATACTAGCCTGAACAACAGGTGTAAAGTGCTAGCTCCTTGTTATTTCAGTTTGCATTTCTCTGATGATGTGTGATGTTGAGTATTTTTTCTTGTGTCTGTCAGCTAACTGGATGTCTTCTTTGGAGAAATGTCTATTCAGGTCCTCTGCCCACTTTATAACAAATTATTTGTTTTTTCAGTGTTGAGTTGTATAAGTTCTTTATATATATTGGATATGAACCCCTTATCTTTTCCCATTCAGTAGGTTGCCTTTTTCTTTTGTTGATGGTTTTCTTTGCTGTGCCAAAGGATTTTATTTTGGTGTGGTCCTGATAGTTTACTTTTGCTTTTGTTTCCCTTGCCAGAGGAGACATATCTATAAATATGTTGTTAAGGCCAATGTCCAAGAGATTATTGCCGTTTTTTTTTTTTCTTTTCCTAGGAGTCTTATGGTTTCAAGGCTCATACTTGGGTCTTTAATCTGTTTTGAGTTTACTTTTGTATATGGTGTAAGAAAGTGGTCCCGTTTCATTTTTTTACATGTAACTGGCCAGTTTCCCCAACACGATTTATTGAAGAGATTGCCTTTCCCTCGTTGTATGTTCTTGCCTCCTTTGTCAGAGATTAATTGACCATACACTTGATTAATAAAGCTTTGTAGCATATCTTGAAATCTGAAACTGCGATGCCTTCAGCTTTGTTCTAATTTCTCAAGATTGCTTTGGCCTATTCGGGGTCTTTGTAGGTTCTTACAAATTTTAGGATTATTTGTACCAGTGCTGTGAAAAATGCTACAGGTATTTCGATGGGTTTGCATTGATTGCAATGTGGATTGTCTTGGCTATTATGGACAGTCTCTATTTGAGTTTTAAAATGAATAGGGAAGAAAATAAAAGAAAAAACAGCAGATCATGTGGGCAAACCTTGAGCTAGTCAAATGCTGGGCAGATAGCATGACCAGGCAAAGTCTTAAAAAATTCTGTATCAACATATTCAGGAGAAGAAAGCCTGTCTTAGGTAAACCAGGAAAAGCAGAAAAACAGAAAAGCAGGCCAAAAAAAAAAAAAAAAGTCCTTTTACTGGTAGAGATTTGCTGTTGAAACAAGTGCTTTCAGATGAGATGTCTTTCATTCAGTTAGAATTCTGCCTTCATCACCTGACAGCTGGATGCCCCGGGATCTGTTTTGTTCTAACTCGTCTGAACTTCACTGTCCTCAAATGCAAAATGAAGTTAATAGGTTTAACTTAATAGGGCTCCTGGGAATGTTAATTAAAATAATGTGTGTAAACCTTTATATTTCATAGATGCAAGAAATACTGAAGAATATGTAATTTAGCTATGACTTCAGTATATATGGTAGAATAAAATAATGTTAGGATCAATGAGATGTCAGCAAATGAGTATAAATCCCAAACTAGAAGGTGTCGGATGGAATTTAACCTGCCCCCTCCCCCACCCGAGGCTACTTATGGATAGAACTTCCCCCTCCATAGGAACCAGGTTTGTGGGCAGGAACTTCCCATTCGTCTTGGACATTCAAGAATCACATCATTCATTTCTGTTTTCCTTAAAACGCAGGTGCACCTATTATTATATCTTTCCCACACTTCTACGAAGCGGACCAGCAGTTCGTTTCCGCCATAGACGGCATGCATCCCAATAAGGACGATCATGAGACATTTGTGGACATAAATCCTGTGAGTGCACATGTCTTCCTGGTAAAAGCTTGCATTTTATTCTGTCCAACACAGTGTTTATTGGCTTAGTCCAGAGCCCGTTAACATTACCGTCGCCTCGCATATACGTATTCAAGGGGAAAAGACTCAGCTCTGTGCACTCGATACCTAGTCTCATGGCCTAACAGGATGAACTGTGTGGCCCTGACAGGCAGAAATAGCGGCAAACCTAACGAAAAAGCACCTGTAAACATTGCATCGCTGGAATAACCGAGATTGGACCCGTAAAACCTGGCCAGTGCTCCGCTGCCAGCCTAGGACTTGAACGTGTACACATTCTCCCACTGGCAGACAGATCAGCAGGGTCGAAGACACATTCTTTTTTTGCTCACTGCCGGGAATATTTTGATTGAAATTTAAATATATGGTTTTTTTTTTTTTTAAAGATTTTATTTATTTACTTGACAGAGACTCAGCGAGAGAGGGAACACAAACGGGGAGAGTGGGAGAGGGAGAAACAAGCTTCCCGCGGATCAGGGAGCCCAATGCAGGGCTCGATCCCAGGACTCTGGGATCAGGACCTGAGCGGAAGGCAGACACTCAATGACTGAGCCACTCAGGCGCCCCGAGCCTCAGTTACTTCTAGCCAGCCTGGTCTGCAGGCACTGTTGAGAGTTTATTGTATGATATTAATTTAAAAGGCATTAGATATACATGTACTTTGATCCTATTTTCAAAGAGGAGATAATCTAAAAACCACGTTAAAAGGAAAGGAATATCGTTTGATGACGTGAGAGCCTCTCAGTGTTGGAACTGAGTTAGAGGTCAGGTATCTTCATTTGGGGGATTTTGAGCACAGGGAACAGTAAAGAAAAAGTAAGAACAGTCTTTCAGCTCCGCAATTTATAGGCACTTTGCTCTTGTGTCTGAGAAATCAATGGTTTTATCTTTTTGTGAAAAATATCCAGTGTTTTTCCCCCTTGCCCCCCTCCCCTGCCTTTTCTCTTCACCTTCAATCAGTTCCTCTTCCTCAGCAGAAAGGTGGGCAGGTGCTTGTCCCCGAGGGCCAGGGCAGTCCCTTAACCCCAGTTCAGAGGCGAAGCGGCCAGGGGCAGACGGCCTTCCCGGCTTTGTGGGCGCCCCGACCATCCCGGGACCGCTCTCTGGCTAGAGCCCCCTCCTGGCAGGGTTGCCCAGGGCTTCGCCATCCAGAGGGGAGCGTCCTGGGTGCTCGCCAGCAGCACCCATGTCAGGCTTCGCCCTAGCCCTGCTGCATCACGGTCTGCACGGCCACCAGGCCCCAGAGCTCGCACGCGCCGTAAAGTTTGGGAGGCACCGGTCCACCAGGCGCCGACCACAGCCTCAGATCTGCCTCTGCCCTGGGGTCCGTGTTCCCTTGTCCCTCCCGTCCTCGCGGACGTGGCAGCGGCCACGCTGCTTGTGAGCTTCGCGTGGAGCTGGTGCTCGGCCGAGAGAAGCTGTTCGTGGTTTTAACAGCCCTCATATTTTCTTCCCACTCCTCTGATCTGCAGTTGACTGGAATTATTCTAAGAGCCGCGAAGAGGTTCCAGATCAACGTTTACGTCAAGAAGCTAGAAGACTTTGCGTAAGTTTCACCCTTTCGTCGAGGCAGTGGGTCGTTTTGCTGCCCTGACTCTCCGGTGGGTCGGTGTCAGCAGACGGATCCCTTTCTAAGTCCGCTCCCTCCTGCCCTTCAGGGATGAGGCATCATCGGCACCCGCAGAGGCTGTCTTGGTTTTGGAATTTACTTACTTTATTTAACCAAACACGTACAGCCTGCTCTCTGTGGATCACACATTGTTCCAAGTATTTTACACACAGGAACTCATGTATTCCTCACGGTTACGCTGTGTTAGCCCCATTTTACAGGTGAAGAAACCAAGGCACAGAGAGGGGACTCAAGGCCACAGAGTCCAGGCCTCCCCACGCCATGCGGCATTACCCTTGCCATGACTCTGGTCACCTCCCTTCCTGTCTTCCCACTGCTCCCACCCAGGGCCACAGGCTCCCAGTTAACAGGCAGTTAACATAGGCTCCTGAGTCCAGCCTCTCCTCCCCACACTCCATCTAAAAGCCACCACTTAACTAGGATTAGTAAGCACAATTTCCTGCTGAGACTTTTCAATGGGAATTTTAGGGGTATGAGAAGATGCTTATGACTTAATGAAAAAACAAATTGTAAAACTGTGCATAATAGTATGTATCTATTCTTTGTTTCTGTCTGTCTACCATCTGTCTATTACAGCACTTGGCTCCCCCATCAGATTTGCAGATTTAACCCCACATGTCATGGATCTCTCTAGAAAATAAATGTGGTTTGCAAGAATGCATTTTGCCACCCCTGTGTATTTTCCTGAGGCAGTGTAAATTAGTAGTTAAGACCTAGAGCCTTAGAATCAAAGTGAAATTACAGTCCTATTGGTCCTGGGCAAATGAATCTGAGCCATAATCCCTGGGACAGTGGTACCTACCACAGGAGACTAGTGAGAGAATTAAATGAGATCAGGTCCCGAAAACAGCAGGTGCAGAGATGGTTCTTGGTAACGGGCTTGAGCAAAGATAATACGTAGGGGCCTGGTCATAAAACATTCTGAGGAGGGGCGCCTGGTGGCTCAGTTGATTAAGCATCCGACTTTTGATCTCGGCTAGGGTCTTGATCTTAGGGTTGTGGAATGCAGCCATACACTGGGCTCTGCACTCAGTGGGGAGCCCTGCTCCCACAGCTTATCCCACAGCTTACCTCTCCAGGCCAGTGTGCTATCATAATGAGGATGTCTATAAAATAATCTCAGACATTGTCTTTTTTTTATTGAGGCACGATTGACAGCCATTATATTAGCTTCAGGTTTACAATATAATGAATCGACATTTATATGTATTACAGAAGGATCAGCAGTCAGTCTAATTACCCATCACCACACTAGGTACAGATTTCTCTTCTTGTGATGACACTTTTCAGATCTTCTCTCTTAGCAGCTCTCCCTGTGGTTACAATATTATTCACTATAGTTGCCGTGTTGTATGTTACATCCCCAGGACTGACTTATTTTAGAACTGGAAATTTTTACCCTTTGACTCCCTCCACCCATTTTGCCCACCCCCAACCCCCAACTCTGGCAGCCACCCATCCGTTCTCTGTGTCCATGGGCTCGGTTTGTTTGCTTTGTTTGTTTTAGATTCCACGTATAAGGGAGAATATATAATATTTGTCCCTCTCTGTCTGATTCGCTTAGTGTAGCGCCCCCAGGGGCCATTCAGGTTGTCACAAATGGCAAGATTGCGTTCTTTTTTATGGCTCAGTAGTATTCCAGTGTGAATATATATCAAGTTTCCTTTATTGATTCATCCGTTGATGGACACTTTGGTGGTTTCCATATCTTGGTTATTAGATAAAAATACTGCAATGAACCTAGGGGTGCATGTGTCTTTTTGAGTTAGTGTTTTCATTTTCTTTGGCTAAATATCCAGAAGTGGAAACGCTGTATGGTACTTCTGTACATTATATGGTACCATATGCCATTATACGGTAGTTCTGTTTTTAATTTTTCGAGGAACCTGCATGCTCTTTTCCAGACTGGCTGCACCAATTTACCTTCCCACCAGCAGGGTAAGGATTCCCTTCATCCACATCCTCACCAACACTCACTACTTTTTGCCTTTTGACGCTAGCCCCTCTAACAGGTATGAGGTGATATCTCATGGTGGTCTTGATTTGTCACCTTTTCTCTTTATAGTGAAACGGGAAACATTAGAACCCTGGTTTTCCCAGTGATGTATATCAATGAGGTAAGTCGTGGGAGGCAGCCACGGGTATGTTTCACTTGTGAAAGTGTGGGAGACTTCCCTTATGACGTCTGCTATTGTAACTGCGTGATGTAAGATGTGAGAAAGGGGGAAAGTGATTTTTAAAAACTTGTTTGTCTTCAGAAAATTTTCTGTTTATATGTTTACATGAGGCTGACTGTGTTTGAGATTTGAAAATATGTTTGAGATTTGAAAAAATTTCCTTTCTCAAGAACATATTTTGGCGGAGACTCTCTTTCTGGGCAGCTGGTTATGTCAGAAACAAAATGCAGAGCTAAATGAAGCAATGTCAAACACTGTGGACATTTTAGTGATACGTGGTTGCCTTATCTTTTATCATAGCCTATAGGGTTTTTTTTAACTTCCTGATAAACAAACATATATCATGAATTATAGGACAAAGACCTGTCATAATTCAAACAAAAAGTATTTCCCTAATGAAATATTTCTTTCTTTCACACTATACTCATAGAAATTTTATCCTAAAATATTAGGTATAAATTAAAGTTTTGCAAGTAAAAACATTTTCAGAAAGCTCAGAAAACACCTGCTATCTCAGACACCTGTGATAAATTCTTTTCTGAATCACATGCATTTACTGTACAAATCTCCTCAATTTCCCTCTTTCTCCCACCCAGTTTGGAGGGGGAACATGTAGGGGTTTTTCCTCTCTAATAAATTCTTGATTGGCTTGCTTCTGTTGTTAACAGCACCATTTTTAAAAGTTTTTGTTATTTTTCTCTGTTCCCTAAAAAATCAATCAATCAATCAATCAATCAATCATAACCTTGCTCTGTATAGAAAATTCAGTAACAGTGATTGGCAAGAAAAAGGAAAGCTAAAATAACTTTCACAAAACCTGGGCAAGATTGATATTATTCTTAACTTGCTTATTTTACTCAACAGCGTGTTGTTAAAGTGTTTCCAATAATAACTTTGTAAAAAATAATTTAATGTCTTACACTTTGTCAAACTAACATGAGCTGTTTATAAAGCTCTTGGAAAATTATAAAATTTATACTTTAGAAGTGAATCACCAAACAAATATTGAATCATTGTATTGTATACCCAAAACTAATCTGTTTATGTCAGTTATACCTCAATTAAAATCTTTAAAAAATATTTGAAAGGCAAATCACTGATAACCTGCCCTTCAGAAACAAGTGCAGCTGACATGGCTCATGTTGCCTCTTAGCATTTTTCTGGTTGTGATATTAGATAGTTGAGACCATTCCATAAATACAGTTTTATAACCTCCTTTTTTCATCTGGCATTACTTTGGTAGCCACATTTATAAACTTTTGAAGGGTTTGTGATTGCAATTCTAAGACAAGACTTTCATTGTTTCCTAAGAAAATGTGGGCAATATTCACCAATTTCTAGGATCTGTTTGCAGTTGCTCCTGAGTTGTCATTGTTACTATTTGCAGAGAAGGACCCAGAAGCAGGGCTTTTTGAAAATGGGGAAGGACCCTGCTCTGCCGGCTTGTGTTCCTAGTTGTGTTCATGTTTGAAGTCCCCTCCAACTCAACGATCGCTTTGCTTTTTTGTTGAAGACTATATTAAGTCCAGGGAATTGTACCTCCTAGAAAGGACTTGACTTTACTCTCGAAAAAGGAAACATTAGACCTTGATATGACCTTGGATACTGCTCTCCCACCTCCTTTTTGGATATTGGCCAGTTACTGGAAGCTCCAGTCCTAGAAACCCATCCTCTGCCTCAGTCTAGTGTAGGTTCAGCCTAAATTAAGCCCAAAGTTCCATTTGTTGCTCATAATTTTTATGAAATTAAGCTCTCCAGACACCTCACCCATTACAATTTAAAGAGATAAGATGTGTGCTCTGCATCCAGAAAGTGTTATTCTAGAACATTTCCTTGGTTATCAATACCCTCTGGAATTCTAGTGAGCCTCAAGACATCTTTAGACAACCTGTTGAGACCTCTGGTCTTTTTAGGAAACTTATTTTTAAGAAACTTTTTTTTAAAAGATTTTATGTTTAAGTAATCTCTACACCTAACATGGGGCTCGAATTCACCACCCAGAGACCAAAAGTTGTACACTCTACCAACGGAGCCAGGCAGGGTCCCAAGACCCCTGGTCTCCATTACTAGAGATTTAACCAAGACAGTAATTATACTTTCCACATATTATTTTTGGAATATTTCATTCAGTCAGTCAACTGGCATTAATTCAGCACCTACTGTTTGTAGAGTACTATTTCTGACATTGAGGTGATTAAGATATAAGTCTTGCCTTTGGAAACCTCACAGTCACAAGGAGACCTACAGATCAACAGACAGTTACTGCACAGAGTGCGCAGTGATGGGGGGTTTTAGGGACTGGTACAGAAGCTTAGTAAAGGGACTTTTAACAGGCCTGAGTTGGCCAGAGAAAACTTCTGGTTGGAAGTTATGCTGAATTAGATATTAGAGGATGAGTTGGAGTTGTCTGATACAAATGATGGTATTATTTTGTTATTTTTTATTACTCTTTCCCTCCTACTTCCAACTTAATTTGAAAGAAAGACATATTTTCGGGGTGCCTGGGTGGCTCAGTGGGTTAAGCCTCTGCCTTTGGCTCAGGTCATGATCTCAGGGTCCTGGGATCGAGCCCCGCATCGGGCTCTCTGCTCGGCAGGGAGCCTGCTTCCTCCTCTCTCTCTGCCTGCCTCTCTGCCTACTTGTGATCTCTCTCTGTCAAATAAATAAATAAAAATCTTAAAAAAAAAAAAGAAAGACATATTTTCAGGAAAAAAAAAAGATGTTAATGAATAAATGCCCCTCTGGTTACTCTAATTTATAAATGAATTTTTAGTCTCTTCAGTTTGCTAATGGGAAGACTTACCCAAATTATGGTTAATGATTTGGAGGAAAGATAGAGCAGAAAACTCTACACCCTGCGTATTTAGTAATCAGGGGATACTATTTTCTTGCCTTCCAGAGTGTTCTCATTGATAAAGAGACTGCAAGTCGACTGAAGTCTGTGATTAACACCACTTTGATCATCACCAACATACCCTACATCGTCATGGCGCTGGGCGTGTTCTTTGGTTTGGTCTTCACCTGGCTTGCGTGCAGAGGACAGGGGTCCATGGATGAGGTGAGCAGTGGCTGGAGGAACGTCTCCCTCACTGGGTAACTTTACCCGACGAGGTCCGCTGTGCTCCACTGCAGGGCTGTCAACGGCTCCATCACCGGAACCCCCAGGTGGATTCTGGGGGTTTGTGCAGGGCGCGGTGATTTCCTGGCCACGTTACTACTGAACCAAAGGAGGCAAAGCAAGTGTGTCAGAGAGGGAGGAGGAATGCAGTGATGCTGTCTAGGATTGGGGGCTGTCTTGGTAGGCCTGGAATCCCTGGGAGTGATCTTCATATTTAGGAAAATAGCCCGAAAGGAGAGGGAGAATATTTAACAGCTAAACGTCTGGACTTTGGTGTCAGATTGGTTCAAATCCCAGTTCTGCCTCTTAATGGTGGCGTGGCACTAAAATGGGCCTCAATTCTTCATCTGTAAAGTGGGATCATGAGAGAACCTGCTTGAAGAGGTTTTTCATGAGGATTAGAGGGTATAGTGAACAGAAAGCACTTGGCCCTGGTGTTAGCATTTCATAGGAGCTCGATAAGCATGAGTTGTGGGATGAAGCAATTCAAAGATTATAAAGTCAAGACAAGCAGAGACCTGCTTGGAAGGAATCAGAGGATGCCGGAAGATGCCTCCCACTGAGTCATCACTGCGTATGAAATGACTGGCGCAGGGGACCAGTAACGTTCCTGCAGAGAAGGGACCCCACCCCCAAAAATGGTTGGGATAAACAGGGTTCTGTTGGCCTAAGTGACCAGCTGGCCCACCCATGACCATGAATGAGCCTTCCCTGTGGGAGCCCTTCTTAAATTCTCAGCAGTGTCCCTTTCTGCACCAAAGGCTTTTCCCTTTCCCTTTTCTCTTCTGCTGTGCCCATCAGGGCAGTGTGACTTAGGTGTGAGGTGATTATCTTGCCATTCCTGTGTCTGAGGTAATTATCTTGCCATTCCTGTGTCTGGGCCTCCCTTCCGGTCTGACGTCGCACAGTCACTGAGATTTTCATGAGCGCAGGTGAAGGCCCAGGTAAATGCTCTCACTACTCCTGCCATTAACCATCTGCGTGTAGTCAACAAGCAAGCGACAACTGGGCACCCACCGCCTCTGAGACATAGTTCCCTGGTAGGTTTTGAACCAGGAAGGAGCAAGTCCATGGAGTGTGCCCATGAGGGTTTTGGGCCCCAGGGGTGCAGGGGAGGGCGTTGCTGCAGAATCAGGAGCCAGGCTGAGGGCCCAAGGGCAAGGCAGCAGCAAGCTGAGTGACAGCCACCCTCCTGTCAGTCTCTCCTCCCATCTTCCCCCACCGCCCTGTCCCCCAGCGTTTCCCCTCCTGGGAGAACTTTCTGAAGGGACCACCTGACGCCGCTGTCCCCTCTCTTCTGAGTCTCAGGGAACCGCAGACGAAAGGGCACCCCTCATACGAACCTAACCGTGGCCCGAGCTGGGCGGAGGAGCCATGTGAGCTGTCCTGACCCGGACCATCCGCGTCTACACGGGCATGTGGCCTGTCCCAGAGAGGAGGGAGGAGACCCCGCGCTGGCGAGTGAGGAGAGCATCCCGGCGGGAGGTTAAACGACTGACTGACTCGGTTGGCCGTCAGGCTTTATAAAATTGTTTGTTTTCCATGTGTCTGGCAGGTATTTAATAAACTCTTGTGTAGTGATTTTTTTTTTTTTAATTGGGTGCTGGTAGCTCCAGAACTGTGTGACCACTGTCGTGGTTAAAATGTGTCCGCGTGGCTTGTTAACGTCCCTCCGTCTAACCTTCTTCAGTGTGTTTCAGTCACCAACTTTGTGCTTGAAATATATAAAGACGATTTTCTGTTGTATTTCACCCCAAAACAGAAGGAAGGAAGAGTTCGGAACCCAGGGTAAAATGGTAGCCTCATAAGTACATCCTTAAAAGGCATCTAATTTCCTCTTTTTAAGAAGTGATATATTGTATTTCATGCTAATCTTCGGTTCATAATTCCTCCAGGAAAATAATTAGATCTTTTGACTCCTTGCAAGCCCAGTGGGGAAGGGATGTGGGGGGTGTGCAGTGGGGGTGAGCCCTGTGAGTTGATTGTGATTAAGCACCTGAGGCATTTTTGCTCGTACTTTTGTGAATTGAAAGGATGTACAGATAATGTTGGTGTGGACAGGTACAGATGTTTCATGTGGAGTAGAAGTAAATGCTAGTTATGACATTTGTGGGTAGTTTGGGAGGTTTTTTTGTTTTTTGTTTTGCTTTTAGTCAAAATAATCTTGGTGTGGAAAGGTGCTTCGGAGAGGTGTCACCAGTAAGTGATTTTTCCCCCAGTCATCCGCGCCAAATATGATACTCTATTAATTACAATATTATTGAGTGATTCTTTGTAAAATTATTTACGAATATGGGAAATCCATCCATTCACAGCCCGAGTTACACACACACTTCAGGAAGTCTGACGGCGCTCACAGGATATTTCTTCCGGGGCAGTCTTCATGGGAACTTTGAAATTGTTTTTGTAAGTTGGCTTTCTGTCTCCAGATTTGGCCCCTTCCAGTGTTCTGTGGTTCACTGTCACTCATGAAGAGAGAAAAATGTGCCCTACACATCCTGTGACAATCATCTTGCTGACAGAATGAATGATGGTGTTTTAAAATATTGCACAGAAAAGGCTTTAAAGAAAGGTCCCTAGGGACCCAGGAGGCAGGGCCACCTCTTTTCAGAAGACCCCTTGGCTTTCAGTGCAATCTAAATCAGAAGATTAGGAACCACCACCTGACACAAATTCAAGCATATTTAAGGGCATTTTCTTGGTTCTCAAAGTTCACTATTCATTTTTGATCGAGAAAACTGTATAGTTATCCAGCAAAGTGCACAGAGAATTTCTTAACAGCTGAATCATCTTACGGGATTTTCTGTCTGAAGCTGGATTTCAGTGTAGCAAATGAAGAGAGAAGGCCATTAAAGTCACAAATACAGCTTCTGATCCCTGTGTGGAGGTGATAATCCCATTGTTTGCCCTAATTTCTTTCTCTCTACACTAACAACACAATATATGACATGCTCCGTTCTTGGAGGGGCTAATTCGTTAAACTCTCAACTTCTCCGTGAATGAAGATAGAACTTAGATATCCCAAATCACCAAAAGGGAAAAAACTAAATTGAAAATATTTTGTCTTCAATAATGCCAGATATCTAGATTTTTTAATTTATCGATATTTAACTATAATCTTTTGTTTATCCACTTATCCACACGAATAAAACTGATGAACCAGTGCATGTTTATTGGTTCATTCTGTTATCAGGGTATAGTCATCTGTGAGGAGGAAATTTCTAAATACTATGAATGATAACAGCCCATGTACGCTTTCAGACTGACTCCCACACAGGCAGGGAGACCAAAACACATTACCGCCTTGCAATTCTTAATAGTTACTTGGCTTAACATCCCATCTGATATTATGTCTCCGAAAAATCTGTGGCAAGCCCATACACTGCAGTCAGAGTTATCAGTTAAGAAGAACAAACGTGCCTATCGGGCTTTAGGTTGAATATAACAGACTTCCTAGCACTGATTCTCTCGGAGCCCTTGTCCTGGAAAAGCCTCCAAAGTCTTTGTGATTGTTGTTATCACAAAATATGTTTGTCTTGTACTATGATACTCAGTTTAGGGAGAAACCAAACAGAGGGAGGTGACTTTGCCTCTCAGGGAAATCTGAGAGTTGAACACAGGACAGGGAATGGGCTTTGCCACTGGTAGCTCAAGGCTTTTCCTAATGGATTTAATTTCTTTATGTTCTGGAAAGATCACTAATGGTCAAGTGCAGTGAGTACTATAGGACTAGCCCCTATTGGGGTTTTTACTGAAGGGAGGTTGGTTTTTGTTTTTTTTATTTAAATTGCTTGAGACACGCGTTCTGCAAAGAGTGACCTTCACGCTTGCCGTCTGGGCATTATTTCTGGAAGTAATTGCTCGTGGCCATCAAACAGAATACTGACCAGAATGCTCTTTGTGTAGCTGAAATAATTGGTTCATTTCATGTGATTCTAGACTTGTTTATTTCTACCCGTAACGCAATGAAGTATTTCACTAATAAAACTGTTTCTATGAAATTGCACTGGAAATTGTATGTGATGTCATCAGATGACTGTTGTCTCTGGAGTTTCATTTGAAAGATGTTCTTTGTCCTCATGACAGATGCAGGCCTGAGTCTCACCTGTTGGGCCACCTTGAGTTCTGCTCAGCTCTGGTGGACGGTTTCAGAGAGCCTGACCCGTTTGAAGCGGGTGCACACCGAGTTTCTCTGCCCACGGCTTTCTCTAGAGGCCGGAAGCCCCTTAGCAGCACTGGGGGTCAGTAGGCCGACATACTGGCCCTTAACCAAAGGGGGCAGGAGCAGGAAGGAACATGTTTACAAGTGACAGAAAATAGGACATGGCAGGTTTGTTTAGCGAGGCCTGCTCTGGCTACGAGGTGAGTAAACTGGAAGAGTCTACGTGGATACAGGGAGGTCAGTGAGGAGGCTGCCATGTTGGGTGGGTCCCTTTGGGGTCTGCGTTGGCATGTGAGATGGATGTCATGCATCAGACCCCAAGGAGAACTCCACAGAGCTGCGTAGCAGGGGTTAAGTAATTGGTTTTATTGGGGAAAATAAAAATGTATAGGGCCGGAACAGCAAGATAAAAGGCACAGACCCTCCAACCTCCTGTCATCCCACGGAGAGGCCAGCCAAGGGCCAGAGTACTGTTTGGTCTCACTAAAGAGCACAAATCTGCCTTCTGGTCCCCCTTTTGAAGGGACAAGCGTGAAGAAGCGGTCTTGTCCATAAAGGAATGTACAAGCCGTTGAGCAACAAACAGGCAGTTTGGATTGGGGTGAATGCTGTATAGAAATCGGGAGTGCCAGCTGCCAGTGGAGTGTTACAGTCTCCATCACTGGGGAAAAGAAGCCCCTGGTTCCTTGGGACCTGAGCTTGGCTGCAGCCCCTTCTCCCAGCAGAGGGGGGAACTCCCAGCCACAGTTAGCTGGTTCTCTGGGCAACCCAGAATGAGGTCACCAGCTGACTGTCCTGCTCTCCGCACTACAAGGGCTCCTGCAATGTCATGGTCAGGGTTGGCAAACCTTTTCTGTAAAGGGCCTGATGAAAAAGTTTTGGCTTTGCAGACCTCTCCTGTCACAACTATTCAATCTGCTCTTAGATCATAAAAGCAGTCCTAGGCAGCAGGTAAACAAACGGGCGTGTCTGTGTGCCAGTAAAACTGGCCACATTTGGCCATCATTTGCTAATCCCTGGTCTAGGCGAAAGATAATGGTAATTGGAATTGGGGAGATGGCAGGGGAGATGAAGTATTTTAGAAATGTTTAAAAGATAAAATATTTGGGACTTGGAGATGAATATGGGAAAGGCAAGGGAGAGGGACATGTCACAGGACTCATTCATCATTCCACAGTATTGAATAAGGTCTGTTACAGGGGTAAGCCCTCTGCTCGCAGCAGGGATAAAACCAGTAAAAAAAAAAAAAAGTTCCTGCCCTGGTGGAGCTTATATTAAATGCAGGAAGCAATAAACAGGTGGTGATGGTGAGTACTAGGAATATTTAAGAAGCCACAGTGACAGGACTGGAATGGGCTATTTTAGAAAGGGTAGTCAGGGAAGGCTTCCTATGGGAGATAGACTCACCCGTTCTTTTTCATCCCCAATCCTTCTCTCATTCCCTCCATCATTTCTGTGATTGTACTCTGTGGGCTCTCCTAGCTCTCTGACCATGCTCTCTCTCTGGCTCCCTTGGGGGCCGTTTCCTTTCTTCTCAATACCTGCGATCAGCTGCAACATCTTCTGGCTTGATAACTCTTCCTGACCATTCCACTGACTCCCTGACTTCCATTACAACCTGAACAGTTACAGCCGACATGCGGGTTGTTCAACCTCAGCCGCACCTGCCAACACCTGCTGGATATCCTCCGCTAGATCGTCCTCAAATCCAGAAAGCAAAAAAAAAAAAAAAAAAAAAAAAAAAAAAAAAAAAAAAGGAATTCATTTTTCTTGTCTTCATTCCAAATTCCCATGACTGGGGAATGGCACCGCAGTCCACCCAGTCCTACAAGCCAGAAAACAGGGACTCTTGCTACACTCCTCTTTCCCCTTCCCTCCACATCCTGTCAATCAAGTCCATCTGCTCCTGTCTCCCTTCCTGCTGTCCTCTTCCCTTCGTCAGCACTCTCACTGGGACTCCTGCGATTACCACTGTCGGCATGATTTAATTTTTTGAGTAGGTAAACCATTTACATTTTCAAAAAGCCTAAAAGGGGTTTATGGTGAAAAGTCTTCCACCATCTCCCAGACACGCAGTTCATCTTCCCAGGGGTTAACTAATGTCACTCACTTTTTTATATCTATCTTTCCAAGAATATTTTATACAAGAATGTGTATTTGCATATTCTAACCCCCTTTCCCATCACCAAAATCGTAGCATACCAGAGAAGGTTTTCTAATTGTCTTTTATGTAATACTTTTTTTTTAAGATTATTTATTTATTTGACACAGAGAGAGAGATCACAAGTAGGCAGAGAGGCAGGTAGAGAGAGGGGGGTGGGGGGAAGCAGGCTCCCCTCCTAGCAGAGAGACCTATGCGGGGCTCGTTCCCAGGACCCTAAGATCATGACTTGAGATGAAGGCAGAGGCTTTAACCCACAGTGCCACCCAGGCACCCCTTTAATACATCTTTGAGATCTTTTTCTTTTAAGCACATAAAGAGCTTTACTGTTCCCATTCCATGTCTGAATAGTACTCCTTTGTATGAATACAACTGTTTAAGCAAACCCGTGTTTCCAGTCACTCATTATATGCAATGCTCTAACCAACAAACTTGTCGTACAAAATTTTGCCCATTTGTAAAATGAATTCCTAAAAGTAGATGGGTCCAAGGATTTGTCATTTTGATAAACACAATGTGGGTTTTTTTGTTGTTATTTTTATTTTTACAAAAGTATACGAGCACATAGATTTAAGAATCAAATAATTCTATAAGGTTTGTTATATTAAAAAAAAAAAAAGGAACCTAAAGATACCATCCTCAAAGGCATCTCTATTAACCCTTTTTTCCCCCATTTACCCCCCTGACTGGGTAACAGGCTGCTCCGTGAACTTCCGCGAGTTTTAGCATCCTCCATCTACTCTCCGCCACCGAGATGAGGCCGCGGCCTTCCTCTCGGGTCCTCATCACACTCCTACTCAACCTCCCGCACATCCTTCCCACGGGGCCTCCCTACAGCAGCATTTAGGGGCTTTCGCACCGCGCGCCCCGCCGACTCCCAGCACTTGCGGGCGGCTGAGACACCCCCGGCCACGTGGAGCCCCAAAGACCCC